TTTTAAAATAAAATAATAATTAGTTATTTATTAAAGTTTAAGGATGTTTTAAGATTTTTTATTAATTTACCAAAAAAAAAAATTAAAGAGGCAGTGGCATAATCGTAATATATAGGGAAACGAAGGTCAGATTCATAAATCTCTCTCTAAAAGCAGAGGAGAGAGAGATGTGAGTTTAAGGGCGGAATCGCTATGCGCTCCAAAACGTAGAAGTACTTGTTAACATAAATGGCGAAGAAGAAGATCCGAACCCTTCAATTCTCTCTCTCAGATCCAAATCGTCCGATTCACACACACTCTCTCTCTCTAGCTCGTTTCGTTTACCCATGAGCTTACAGAGCTCAACCCAATCGTGAGGAGAGAGAGAGGGATAGACTACTCATAATCACACCGAACCACCTTACACCCTCCATTCTCCGATTTTCTTGCGGTATTTTCTCATCTTTTTCTTACTTTTCTGCTCTTGCTTTCTTCTTCAATTACCTCAGTTCTTTCCATGGATAATTGTGTTTTTTTTTCTTTGATTTATTGCTGTGGAACTCGATTTGGAGGATTTGGCTACTTTTTTGCTCTCTTTTCTGTTGTTTTCTTCCCTTTTGATTCGGGGGGTTTTGGATTCAACTGGCTGTTCGTGGATGGGTTTTGATTGTACTTTTTTTTGTGATTTGAACATGGAATGTTTCTCGATGGAATTGAACAAATGAATGGGAGTTGCCTGCTTTTGATTTTGCTGTTTATGATTTTTGTTGTTTGTTTTGCAGATTTGGGGTTTGTGATTGCTTCACTGTGTGGCAGTAGGCGGCAGAGTTTGAGATCAGGGTGTTTTGAGTGATGTCTGTAAGTTCACTGAGCTGCTAAAATGGTGGCGATTTGAGGATGTTGAAGGTATGTGAGTAATCTGACTTGAGTTCTTTCTGTTGTGTAACTACTGGTAGAGGCGATTCTTGGGGAATCTGTTCTTGAAAAGGAGTTGCTGAGAGAATGCCTAATGTTTGTTGGTTCTTTAGTTAAGCCCTAGAAATTGAATGTTCATCTCGAGCTGGGAACTGAAGGAGAAATTTTTGTTCAGCTCGAGATCTGATTTTTAGGTTCTTCCAGAAAATGAATGGGTGGTGATTTAGGAATTTAAGTTAGAGACATACACGAGGCAAGCATCCATGGAAGATTTTTCGAAATACTCGCATAGTCCAGCGCATCTAGCAGTTGTTCGTCGAGATTATGCCTCTCTCAAGCGCATTGTTGCGTCCCTTCCTCGGCTAGCTAAGGCTGGTGAGGTTAATACTGAAGAGGAATCTCTTGCTGCAGAGCTCCAAGCTGATGCTGTCTCTGCTGCTATTGATTGTCGCGAAGTTCCTGGTCGGGAGACGCCTCTACACCTTGCTGTACGTCTTCGAGATCAGATTTCGGCTGAGATTTTGATGGGAGCTGGTGCTGATTGGAGCTTACAGAATGAGCATGGTTGGAATGCTCTACAGGAAGCTGTTTGTACGAGAGAGGAAGCAATAGCGATGATAATTGCTAGACATTACCAGCCTCTTGCATGGGCGAAATGGTGTCGCAGGCTTCCTCGTATTATTGCTTCTGCTTCTCGGATTCGTGATTTTTACATGGAGATAACTTTTCATTTTGAGAGTTCGGTTATTCCTTTTATTGGTCGAATCGCCCCATCAGATACTTATCGCATTTGGAAGCGTGGTTCTAATCTTCGAGCCGATATGACCCTTGCTGGTTTTGATGGTTTTCGAATTCAACGTTCTGATCAAACATTTCTCTTTCTAGGTGAGGGTTATACTTCAGAGGATGGTAATGTTAAGTTGTCTCCAGGTTCTTTGATTGTTCTCGCTCATAAAGAGAAGGAAATTACAAATGCCTTGGAGGGAGCTGGTATTCAACCAACAGAAGCTGAAGTTGCCCATGAAGTGGCCTTAATGTCGCAGACAAACATGTATAGGCCAGGCATTGATGTTACTCAAGCGGAGCTTGTTCCCCATTTAAATTGGAGAAGACAGGAGAGAACTGAGATGGTCGGAAATTGGAAGGCGAAAATATACGATATGCTTCACGTGATGGTGAGTGTGAAGTCAAGGAGGGTTCCTGGAGCTATGACAGACGAGGAGCTATTTGCTGGAGATGATGAAGAAAGGCTGGCCAATGGTGGTGAAAACGATGAGTTTGATGATGTATTGACAGCAGAAGAGAAAATGCAATTGGATTCCGCACTTCGAATGGGAAACTCTGAGGGTCCGGGCGAGGACGAGGAACACACAGCCTTCGAAAGCCAAGAAAATGGTTCGGTAGGTTCTTACGAAAACTGTGATCCAAATGGTGCTACTAAGGAGAAGAAGAGTTGGTTTGGTTGGAACAAGAAGAGTAGCAAGGGAAGTAACGACGATCCCGACGATCCAAAGATTTTGAAGAAAGTTTTGAAATCAGCTCCGGAAGGTGCCCATCAAAAACCGTCTTCTGAATTATCGACAGAAGATACGGGGGATGCGAAGAAGGGAAAAGATAAAAGCAGTAAGAAGAAAAAGAAGAAGGGAGTCACCAATGACTCTAAGCATGAAAGTGAGTATAAAAAGGGTTTGAGACCTGTCTTATGGTTGACACCAGATTTTCCTTTAAAAACAGATGAACTTCTGCCTCTACTTGACATCCTAGCCAACAAGGTAAAAGCTATCAGAAGACTAAGGGAGCTTTTAACAACCAAGTTGCCTCATGGTACATTCCCGGTGAAGGTAAGATTTTTGTTACCATTTTCTTTTATTACTTAGGTTATCTATTTCTGTGACGTGAACCACTCGATGAGTCGTACACTCCTTCATTGTTTGAAATCCTGTCAAAAAAAAAAAAGAAAAAGAAGTTATTTTCGAACACTTTTCATTAAAGGAAACGAAATCTCCCTATATGTTGCACAGAGGGGTAACTAACTGGTTGTCTGTTCTCCGGTCCGTGTTTGGATCTGGATCTGGACATCACCGATTGGCAAAGCTCAACTACATTTTGAGGAAGTAGCTACCTAAGCGGAGAAGGGTTTTTCAAATCCAATCCTGTAAAAGAATATTGACATACCCTTTTGGGGGAGAGATTAAAGTTAGCTTTGTCCCTTAACTAAATGGAAAAGACCCCAATAATCTCATTAAAGTAGAAGCATCATTTCTTACTTGTTCTTATTAAGGGTCGGCTCGAAATCTCCTGGTTAGCACCTGTTCTTTGATAAGATTTTGTTTAATATATTGATAGAATTTGGGAGAATGTTATGCTAAGGTATAAGCTGTACTATCATGTCTGTGAGGTCATGTGTAATCTTTGATCTCCAAATCTCCATGCATTTAGGATATCTGAAAGTATGTTATTATGGTTCAACATGTTTATGATATGATACTAAGGATATTTTTGTTCTTATCTTAATCCTCATCAACAAAATATTATTATAGTGAAGCGATACGTTACGTTTCATTCTGTAGGTTGCTATCCCCATTGTCCCGACTATTAGAGTACTCGTTACTTTCACAAAATTTGAGGAGCTTCATCCAGTTGAAGAATTTGCTACCCCACTCTCAAGTCCAGCACATTTCCAGGATGCCAAGTCCAAGGAGTCAGAGGGGAACTCATCATGGATTTCATGGATGAGAGGAAGTCGAGGTGGGCAATCGAGCGATAGTGACAGCAATCGGTATAAGGATGAAGTCGACCCGTTTCATATACCGTCCGAGTACACATGGGTTGATGCAAATGAGAAGAAACGCCGTATGAAAGCCAAGAAAGCAAAGAACAAAAAGCACAAGAAACAAGCAACTGCTAAAGGCGGGAATGGAGGAATTCAAACGAGTGAGGACGTGGAAGAGTAATTCTTTTTTATAGGTGATTTCTTGCTGCTGCCATTGCCACTTTGAGATCCTTCTGCAACAGATGGAGGTAAGCTTTTCTCCTATTTGAATTTGACCTTTTTTTCTATTTTGCACATTGAAAGATCATGAGCTTAGAGGATCCATGGGTTATTTGTTTGGTGGGAAAGGCTTTGTTGATTAATCAAGCATCGTATCTGTAGTAATTTTCATCTGGAATACATCTCTGGAGAGACACAGTCTCTTCTTTTGTAGCTTATTTCCATTTAATTTTCAATTAGACCCCAATCTTTGTACCTGATCACCGATTATAAATTTTACGTTTTTGTTGTTGTTGTTGTGTAATACCCACGACTCCTGAAGAGAAGCTCTTCTTGACCTGACCCCCTTGATGACATGAACACATTTTCCACTTATAATGTATAAATCTTATTTTCATTTCACCCAAATGAAGTAACAATTGATTTAGGTGATAATAAGGTTACTTCCCTAGCAGCTTTTTCTTTTAGGTTCAGGAGTTCTGTGCTGTTGTCTGACTATTTTTGTTTACATGTTATTTTGGGCTGGCTAGCAGATATTGTTCTCTTTCCTCTTTTAGGCTCCCTCAGTTTTAAAACGCTTTGTGCCAGTGAGTAGGCTAAACAAGGGCTGGACACTGCTGTTGTTGTCTGACTATTTGGCTTTTTTCAATTTTGGGGCTCGCTAGCAGATATTGTTCTCTTTGAGCTTCCTCTTTTAGACTCCCTCAGTTTTTAAAACGTTTTGTGCTAGCGAGTAGGCTAAACAAGGGGTGGACACTAGACGGTGTGCCAACGAGGATGCTGGGTCCCAAAAGGGAGTGAATTAGGGGATCTCACATCGATTAGAGAGAGGAACGAGTGTTAGCGAAGAGTTTGGGCCTCGAATGTGGGTTGATCGTGAGATCCCACATTGGGTGAGAGAGGAGAACGAAACATTCTTTATAAGGGTGTGGAAACCTCTCTCTAGTAGAGGTGTTTTAGAAACCTTGAGGGGGAACTCGAAAGGAAAAACCCAAATAGGACAATATCACATACCATCAAAACCGAACAAAACCGAACAGATCTTTCTGTACATCCTTTTGGATTTGGTCGGTTGCATCATCAACTCCTTACCTTCACAGCAAAGACAGCCACCTAACCATAAAAAAGGAACAGACTTTTATTTCCAATCAATCTTTCTGTACACGTACGATATATACCACAAGATCTCATTATTCTATCTCCCTCCCTCTTCCCCCTACACGAGGAAGACAAAAAGGACAATGGAAAAAAAGGAATCCTATTTACAAATGATCGACTAGAGATACAATTTTCAGTTCACCAAAACCTATCCTTGTTAACACTCAAGTATCCAGCCATTACTTTGCCTCCTGTATTTCTCATTCCATCTATAAGAAAGCACCATGTTGAACCCAATGCTCCAATGAAAAAGTCAGCTTCAGTTGCCATCAAGAAGTTTACAAGAGGATAGTTTGTACTGGTTATCCTACCGAGCTGTGCTTCGTAGGTGGCCATCGTAAGGTTTCCTACTTGTCGCTTCACATTTGTATAGTAAAATTTCCAGGACGGATAACTTCTTGTTTTATCGATCACTTCCTGGGATATATTACGGATTGCACATAGTGAGAGAAGAGCTTATAGGTGTTGATGTATAATTAAATGGTTCGTTTTGGGGGTAGAACACACCTGCATTTCGGTCGAAAGCCAAATGCTGTCAAGATTTGGAAATCGTCTTCTAATACGCCCAGCAAGGGCCATGTATTCTTCAAATTCAACAACCTTCATTTCACAGGCTTTATCTCCCATTCTTACATGCATGCTTAACAGTGGCCTAGGTATCCATGGCTTGTGATTCGACCAAACAAATTCTTCGATATCATGTTTCGATACCATTGAATCGTTCTGAAATAGGACACCCAATATTAGAATCATGATCCTGAGGAATATGCAACTACAGACTTGAATTACAACCTTTTTCTATCAGTTCAATACTGCTTTCCATCTTATTATGAAAAAACTATGATAGTGAGCTTAGCTTCCTTATATTTAAAAGCATTTGATACCTTTGGCCATTTTCCATCGACACTTTTGAGAACCATTTCTGCAGCTTCCTTTCCAAATGCGGCGTGGCGGGCAGCATTCATTAAGCCACATGTGTATTCTGTCTGAAATCTCATTAAGTAGCGCACTGCCTGAGGATCAAATTTTCTGTATCAGAATTCTAATGTATGGTCCTCGTCATTGGACATTTCTGCTGTTTTAAATCTTAGAGATAGGGATGTAGGAATGCTTATAGTAACTTGAAATGTTTGTTCGAAGTTTGTCAGGGCGTGAAAGGTTAGGAACTTGGAATGGTTTGGACATGGGCAGATTTTGGAAGTTTGTATTGAGAGAAATCTATCCAAAATGCTACCAATGCACATGGTTGGGAATGGTCGTATTTGTATTTTTAATGTGGGCTTGCTTGCTTTCTGAGTTCAATGGGATTTGATTCATCTAATCTCAATTTGATTGAGGATATTGTATATTAATTAATTGAGCTATATTCATGTTGACAAATTTTTCACATGTTAATAGGGACAGTGTAACGACCAAGCTCACCGCTAGCAGATATTATCCTCTTCGGACTTTCACATTCAGGATTTCCCTCAAGGTTTTTAAAATACGTCTGCTAGAGAAAGATTTCCACACTCTTACAAAGAATGCTTCGTTCTCCTCCCCAACCAATGTAGGATCTCACGATCCACCCCCCTTCAGGGCCCAACGTCCTCGTTGGCACTCGTTCCCTTCTCCAATCGATGTGGGACCCCCAATACACTCCCCTTCGGGGTCCGACGTCCTTGTTGGCACACTACCTCGTGTCCACCCCTCTTTGGGGGTCAGCCTCCTCGCTGGCATATCGCCTGATGTTTAGCTCTGATACCATTTGTAATAGCCAAAGCCTGCCACTAGCAGATATTGTCCTCTTTGAACTTTCCTTCAAGGTTTTTAAAACTCGTCTGCTAGGAAGAGGTTTCCACACTCTTATAAAGAATGCTTCGTTCTCCTTTCCAACTAACGTGGGATCTCAGATAATTTTAGGGATAGGTAGTGTGTGAGAGAGAGAATCCACTCGAAAGGCAGTCACAGTATGTTTTCTCATTGCTTTTGCAGCACAAATCCAGTCCTATTTTCTTACTTTCTAGTCTCGAGATTGGCTACTTGTCAACTTATGGCCAAGTTTTTTCCTTTCAGCACAACTTTTAAGCAGGCTTTTGTATGTAGCACATGTTCATTATTACATTCAGACACAATCTTTCAGTAAGGCAACAAAAGGGAAGGGATTATCAGGATAGTGTCAGAAAATAAACTTCCATTTACTTCAGTTATCTAAGGAGCATAAAAGATTACCTGTGCTCTCCACCACCTTCTGTCCATTTTTCGATGATTAGAAAGTAAACTTCCATTTACTTCTGTTGTGGGTTGCATATAACTCCAAGGATTTCCCCATATTCTGCATTAATCATCAATGAATTTACTCATCAACTGATAAACCAATAGTGTTGAACTGTCGGTATCAATGAAAATTCCAAGGTCCCAATTTTCTTGAGAGTTTGATAAAAATATCAACATCAACAAATATTCTTTAAAAAATTTGAAATCATGACACTTATTAAGCTCTTTGATTTATAGATATCGATGTGTTTGATAGTTAGCTCACCTAGGAACCCGACCAGTCCATATTTCCTTGGTGCTGTAATTTTCTTTTGCTGTTATGATTCCACTCTTCCATGCTGTGTTGTTTCCCAAAAGTTCAAATGCACGGTCCCGACATTCTTGGGATGTTTCGGGGAAGAAGTAGCAGGACCAACTGGACCGAGACGAGCCTATATACAAACCAAGATTAAGGCTCGAAAAGTGAACATGTTAACCTTTAAAATATAGTTCTTCCTAGTTGGGTTTCCTTAAACAAGTGCTTTCCAAGCTTCAAATCCAGAAGAAAAGGAGAAACAGGTAAAAAGATGGGCAAATATTAAATGCAGTTCATGATTATAGCACATTGGTACGTAACCTATCACTCAATACCTTGACATCCATCATGGTCTGCTCGATTATAATAATTCGTAACGAGAACCCTCTTCTCGTTGATTGCTATAGCCAGAAGGCCACACATTCCAGCTATCTGAGCTCCGATACCAAATCCAGGTAACCGCTCCCAATCAGCTACAAGAAACCGAACATTTGGATCTCTACAGTTCAATGGATGCTGATGGATCCATAGATCGCGCTGTACTTTTCTAGTTAAGGGGTAGTTTTCTTCATCTGATCCTGTAACCTGGAAACTATGGTATTGTTAACAATTTGATCATGGTCAATTGAAGTCTCCAATTATTAAGTTTATGGGATTAACAAATATGGTGGCCAGCATGTTTTAACCCACTGCAGAAACTGTAAGAACATAGCAGAAACTTGTAACACATCAGTATTTAGTCATCACAATTCAAAATTCAAAATTCAAGAACTTTTAGAAACATACCCAGGGAGGGTAGGAACCTTTAGACATTTCTTGGTGCCGAAGGTAGCTCGATTCCTCACTCGTAGCAGTCGGGTGCATGTCTAAGAACCCTTTCCAACTTGTCCAGCGAAGGAATCCATCGGTCCGCTCATCGAAGCGCTTATTTGCTTCTACTTTCAACTTGCAATCTTCCAAATGGGGTGCATTTGGTACTGTTGCTTTATCCAGTCCAAGATACCGTGAAAATGCATTATTTCCCCTGATCGGTTCAGTCAACGAAGAACTCCAAGCTGCATATAGCAAGGACACTTTATCCTCATCCTTATGTACCTCGATTTTCCGAAAATCCTTCGGTCTCTCGACCTCCTCTACTTTCAAGTTACAGTCTGACAAATCATTCACATTGTTTTCGGGTCAGAAATGAGACAAGATATTTGAAAATTGATCAATGATGAACAACAACCTATTCACTATTTGGAAGCAATTTGAAATGAATGAAAAGCTTCTACTTCTTTCTACAAAGATTAGCTACAATGTTCCTTAAAGATCACTTCTAATTGACATTGCTTAAATGATCACATAACCTTCTAATATTTTGAATTAACAATGAACTATGATTATATTCATGGCCAACTAAACAAATTTAAAACAAAAAAAGAGAGTAGCTTCTACCAGAAGATAAGAGTATTTTAGAACTCTTTAGAATTGTCCTATTAAAGTCAAAATGCATTGGGGTAAAGTAGAAGTTGTTCTAGCTTTATCTTATCCAATACCTTTTAATAATTCCTTCCCTTACAGCTTTATACCAATGAATTTTTCCATAATCCAAACAAAAGTTTCAAACCAGCTTTCAGAATAAACAATTGTTTCTTTTCATTTTGGCTAACTCTAAGTTATGCTACAACATTAAGTATTAGGTACTAACTTCATCTTTTATCTTTCTTTCTTTCTTCGTTCACACCTGTTAGACCAGTTTGTGCACGCCTCGATTAATTTTATGAGGCTGATATTTAATGTCTTTGTAATGATCCAAGCTCACCGCTAGCAGATATTGTCCTCTTTGGGTTTTCCCTTTCGGGTTTCCCCTCAAGGTTTTTAAAACCTACTAAAGAGAGGTTTCCACACCCTTATAAAAAATGCTTCGTTCTCCTCCCCACCTCCCCAACCGATGTAGGATCTCACAATCTTAACCTCAAAACATATGAATTTACAACTTCTTTGTCCATCAAGCCAAGCTCAGTGTGCTTATCTTTTAGCAAACTCTCCAAACATCTTAGAATTCAATCCAAATTGCATACACTATTATACCAAACAGCAAGAATTCAGCTAAATAGTAAGAAGAAGATGATGGAGAAGACTTACTTATAGCTTCAGAAGTGGAGTTCCAGAACGAAGCAGGCAGTGAATTAGACGACAAAGAACTCCAACCAAATCCTAAAGGAGCACCAAATGAAGCAAAAGCACCAAGAAACAGAGAGGCAATACAAACTCCACAGAGAAATCCCACAACACAAATTTGACAAGGAAATGAACTCCCTAATTGCAAAGCCTTTTGTGAAACAACTCTTTCCAGAGACTTCTGATTCTGTGCTTCCATTTTAACCCAAAACCTTTTTCCTTCTAAAATTTCAAGCCAAACTCAACCACCCTATTAACTCCTATCACATGATACACATACTCTACTTCTACTCCATCTGTTTTTCACTTTAGAACCTCTTAAAAATCAGTGGCTCACCTTCATATACCTAAAATCAAAGGAGAAATCCATGAAAAACTTCACCAAAAAAGCCATTACAAACGAAACAAATAGAGAAATGAAGCAAATAATAACCTGAAACGTTTGGCAATGAAGAAAAATAGTTAAGAACACCAGAAGATCGGATAGAAAACAGCCTAAAACAGCCTAAAACCAACAATCGACCACGAAGAACGAAGAACAAACTTGGAATTCGAATCTAGCGTTCAGCCTTATCTTCTGTTGAACTGCAAAAAACTGAAGAGATTAAGAACGATAAGATAAGAGAATCTCCAAAAGCCGATCATCACAGACTCCAACAAAACAGAGGTGGATTAGCTTGTTTGGTCCATTCAAAAGCCCTTTATCGATTCACAGAAGGGAAGAAACAAAACAAAAACAAAAAGATGAACAAAAAGCAAAAGAAATACAGATTAACGCAATAAATTGAGCAAAGAATCAACAAGTGGGGTTCGAAACAATACCCAGATGAAGAAATGTAATGCAATCAATGAAGCAGAGAGAGATAGAGAGAGAAATGGAAATGTGGCGTCCGTAGCGGGAACAAATGGACAGATAAGTCCCTCTCGGCTGAGTTCTGAGCTACTCTGCTCCGCATTTCGGCTGTGCTTTAAATAATTTCTTGAGTTTATCCTTCAAATATTTTATATTCTCTACCAAATTTTTTTTTTTTTCTAAATTGTTTTTGTCCATATCTTTTTAACTTAAAAAGTGTTTAAATGATTCGAGAATTCAACCACTACCGGATTCAAACCATAGAGATTAAGTTAAGTTAGGTTAAATTTTTTTTCGGATTGAGTTGGGTTGAATTTTTTGAAATTAAAAAAATTCGAGTTGGTTCGTAATCCTTTTTTTGGTCAGGTCAGACCGACCAGAAAATATGGTTACAATCTAATTCTAACTTACTCTACTTTTAATATTATTATGAAAATTAAAAATATTTGACGTTTGTAATCGATGTTATAATGGGCTGTGACTTGTGAATATTTTATATCTAAATTTTATAATGCTTTAGTTATTAACTTAATACATGTAGTGGACACCTCAACTCGGGTTGGGTTGAATAGTGAACTTTATTCGAGTTGCTCGGGTCATCAACTTAAAATTTTGGGTTGGTTCGAAATATTTTTCCAAATCAACCCGTGTTTTCAAATTGGTTCATATCCTTAGTTTGAAGTTAATTTCTTTTATAAAAACTAATTAAATAATAATAATAATAATAATTTATAGAGGGGAGGGTAATAGATAGAGGATTGTTCATATGACCCGATAACCCGACCAACCCAAATTACGTACCCGAACCCAAATCATAAAGATTGAGTTGGTGGGTTAGATGTTTAAACCAGTAATAACTCTATAAAAAAGTATATATTGGAAGATAATGTCGAGTAGGTTCGGGTTGGCTATTGAAAATACCTATTATCTATTATCGAAGATATAACGTGAATAAGTGAAGGTAGGTTCGGATTGGCCGTTAAACCCTATATTATTATTGTTAAAGTGCTACATATTTGATCAATAATTAATAAAAATAGCATCCAATTTTGATAATGGATTCATTTGGTTTATATTAGAAGTTTGTTGAAGCTAAATTTAGTAACAAACAAAAGATTTGCATAATAAATTGGATTGTAGAGTTAAATTTAAATTATGTGTATTTAGAATTAATATATTTTTTTTAGGTTTAATTTTTTTACTAAATTTTTGTATGCAAGTACGGAGTGGTGTTAAGAATTTGACACGGTCGCTGATGTGGCAACCTGTTACCTACAAGAGAAGAATCCAACACCGACACTAATGTGAGAATCTGTAATGTAATGACCCATGTCGAAGATTTTGATTAGAATTAGAATTGACACTTGAATTCAACACGGATGCTGATGTGGTAACCTGTTACCTATATGAGGACAATATCTGCTAGCGGTGGATATGGACCGTTACAAATGGTATTAGAGTTAAACGTCAGGTGATGTGCTAGCCTTCTTGCTATTCTCCGAAGGGGGCAGACGAGTGGTGGTGTGTCAGTGAGGACATTGGGTCCTGAATGGGAGTGGATTTGGTGGCGGTTCCACATTGATTGGAGGATGGAAAGAGTGCCAACGAGGACGCTGGGCCCTGAAGGGTGTGGATTGTAATGTTCCACATTGGTTGGGGAGGAGAACAAAACACCATTTATAAGAGTGTGGAAACCTTCCCCCAGTAGACATGTTTTAAAGTCTTGAGGGAAAGCCCGAAGAGGATAATATCGGCTAGCGGTGGATTTGGGTCATTTATAATGTAACGACCCATGTCGAGGATTTTGATCAGAGTTCAAAATTTGGATTCGACACTTGGTGACCCCGGAATTCTTCTTCTACATCCCTTGCTATATGTTTAGGTTGCCCTTGCGATATGTTTAGGTTGCTTAATCTTTTCTTCTTAGAGTAAAACTATCCCGATAGACCACTGCAAGTTCTTCCAGCATGTTTTGCCCTCACCCACATGCAAAAGAATCTAATACCGACACACATGTAATGACTTTCAGCTCTTTTAAGCTTTTTTCAAAATTTGATACCGAATGTGGTAACCTATGACATGCAAGAGAAGAATACGGTACTGAAACCGGTGTGATATTGTACCGTACACTCTTACTTAAGTCGGTCACGAGTACATAAACTAAGATAATAGTTTAGCTGTTAAATGATGTATTTTATTTTCAATAATTACTTAATTTAGTATTTTTTCAGACTATTTTATTTTTTTTAGGAATATAAAATTTAAATTTTAGAGAGAAAAAGTGAACAAAATAAACATTCAAAATATCAAATAAAATTCAAATAGAATTTCCACTTCTCCTTTTTCTTTTTCTTTTTCTTTTTTTTTTCTTTTCTTTTTAAATTTCAAGAGAAAAAAACACACTTTATTATTTTAAATCTTATTTTATTTATTTTTTTAACTTTTAAACTAATTTAATTTTGGTCCATCATTTCAAAATATCTATTTCAATATTTAAAAAATGTCTATAAAAATCTAAAAAAATAATTTTAAAAAAATTAAGGGTTAAAATAAATATTGTAGGTGAAATTATTGACGGGATCCAAAACCTGCCAAGAGTAAATGTCTCGAGAACCAAACTCAAAGATGGCCAGTTGCTTCCAAAAGGTCGACCACCGTTGAGGCCCTTGAACCTAACCGTTAGGGGTTGACCATGGTTCAACATGGGTGACCCCCATTGGTCAATCAAGTGCTCTCATGGTCAATCAGACCTCACTAGAGTCGATTAAGGGTAATGTGACCGATCTCATAGGAGTCAGTCGATGGTTGAGAAGAATAAGTGAGTCTCGGTCATAATCAGTTAAGATCCTAAGAAACAATTTGACGGAGTAATGATCTAATCTTAAAACAGTTTCTTGTACGTCATATTCCACGAGAATCACAACAATATTGCAACACTCACACTATAAGTCAGTTAGTCAAACGACACATTTAAAATACTTATTTATTGCTCTGTATAATCATTTCTAAACATATAATTGACTTGATCGATTTTTCAAATAATATACACTTCCAGTCAATCTAACCATCCAATTGTAATGATTAAGAGATGAAACAATCGAATAAAAATTAGTAATATATATATATATATTTTAAAGTCAATAAAAAGATTATTAATTTAAATTTTAGTGACTAAAATCAATATTTAAAAAACAAAAATAAACAAATTAAAGTTAAAATTAAAATTTAATTTTTTAATATATACTTTATTAAATAATATAGCTTGATTCCATTTGACCCTTTTTTAATTAATTATCTTAATTTGTATTATTAACATTGGAAACCTCAATTAATTAATTAATTTAAATCCAACATGTTTTTTTTTAAAAAATAATATACAAATATAGGGAATAAATTAATATATATTTATTTTTTATTATTCCAATTTTATCCTTATCGATAGAGTATATAACAGTCTTCATATTTTTTATATCAGTCCACTTATATTCCAAATTAATAATTGAACACGTGCTCGGCTCTTATTATAATTTAAATCTTTATTCATTTGTTTCGAAATATTATTTTGCTACTACAGTGTCATTGTAAGACCTAGATCCATCGCCTAGTAGATATTGTCCTATTTGGGCTGCTACGAGTAGGCTTTAAAACGCCTCTGCTAGGGGTAGGCTTTAAAACGCGTTTGCTAGGGGAAGGTTTCCACACCCGTGATTTATTCTCCTCCACAACCAATGTGAAATATCACAATCCACCCCCCTTCGAGGCCCAACGTGTTCGCTGACACCCATTCCTTTCTCCAATAGATTCGGACCACCTCCAAATCCACCCCCCTTCGGAGCCCAGCGTCCCTATTGGCACACCGCCTCGTGTCTTTCCCCCTTTGGGGAACAGCGAGAAGGTTGACACATCGTCCGGTGACTGGCTCTGATACCATTTATAACGACCCAGATCCACCGCTAGCAGATATTGTCATATTTGGGCTTTCCCTTTCGGCTTTCTCTCAAGGCTTTAAAACGCGTCTGCTAGGGGAAGGTTTCCACACCCTTATAAAGAATGATTTGTTCTCCTCCCCAACCAATGTGAGATATCACATAACCATTTTAGATGTCGATGATAACGTACAATGTTACCTTCCATTGTTAAACGTCAAATGGAAATGCCCCAAAAACTAAGGATATCTATGCGGTTAGTGAATCGCTCATATGAGGCTAAAAACGTATCTAAAGTGAACTAAACATGTTTAACGCGTCTCGAGAGTCGAGACGTTTCCAAGTCCAATTCCCACTTGTTTTTTAAATATATTTTTAGTATAACTTTGATTGGGGAGCGTTTTTTCTTAAATATTCTTTATCTCGATTCGATTTTAAATATCTAATTAAATTTGTTCTTGAAAACACTACTTAGAAATTTGTATTTATAATGAATATTAAACACTAGGAGTGTTCGTAGGTCGCGTTGAATTCATTTGAAATGTTCAGGTTATTAATTCAACATCGAACATCTATTATTTTATTTTCAAATATTTAATTAACCTTTGCAATTTAATTTCAATATATATTTTAAAAATTTACATTTAAAATAGTTTAAAATTTATTTTTAAGAGTGACTAATAATAATAATAATAAAAAAAAATTATTAAATTATTTATGTAGCCTATTAATTAAGTAAACAAATTTAAATTTTATTTATAAGATAATAGAAAATTAAATATATTATATTCAAATATTATTGTTATCATAATTAAGCAAGTTGTGTTTTAATTAATTTATTAATTATTATTGTAATCAAATTAATGAACAACTCCCAATAAATTGTCTTATTATTTATTTTTACTTTATTCATTAATATGGTTTTCACCGTCTTAATTAAAAATATTTTAAATTGAAATTAATCATCCATATTTAATTGTTTTTAACAAAAAGATTTTTTTTTAATTTCATTAAAAAAAATTGGTCTTTTAATTTTAATTATGGCATATCACAAACAATCTCATAGCATTATATTTTATTTTCCATCAAAAGTATTTTTTAATTTTTTAATTAATTATTTATTTATTTATTTTGTAAAAATTGGATATAATTTAATAAAGAGAGAAAAAAAAACAAAGCATGTGAGAGGAAAAATGGATGTAAAAGTTTGAAAGCAACTTGAATGTATTTTTGTAATAATGATCCAATTTTATTGAGTTATTATTTTTCAATAATAATTTATTCCCAAATTTGGCTGTTATTTTTTTTACTAAATTAATAAAAATACCATTAAATTACTAATTTATTCCGAATAATATCATTAAATTAAAAAATATATATATACATCATTAAACTCTCAAATAAGTTAAAAATAAATCTTATTATTCGGATAGAAATCATTAATATTTTATTTTAAAAATATTTTTAAATTTCAAAAGTTTCGTTAATACTCTCAATTTTTTTTTAAAACTTCAAATACACTTTTAAATTTCTTTTAAAAAATTCTAAAAAATATTTTTAAGATTAATATCACAATTAAAAAAAATACTCATAAACTTTCAAAAGCATAAAAAAAAAATTTAGAAATAATCTATGAGGCGACAATGGATGGTTTTTGTCCATATATTGATGGTAATAATTTTTTAAATATTTTTTTTAAGGTAAAAGATGTTATTACAAAATTTAAATTTTCATCGGGTATTTTTTAAATATAATATTAAAGGTGAGTTATATTTGAACTTGATGTTAATGAAACTTTTTGTAATTTAAAAATATTTTTTAAGTATTTTTTTTAATTTATTTAGATTTTATGGGCTAAGAATAAGCCTAATTTCTGTGGGCCCAAAAGCCCAAACATCGTTAAAGAAAGGAACAAAATCTCAGGCCCATCACAAAGTCAATTCCTGGGGTTTATATTAGAGTAAAATTTTAGAAAAAAATATATCTAACATTTTGAATTAACAAAAATACCCCTAAAGTTAAAAAATGTCTTAATGTTAATTTTAGATAGAACTCGATATTATTTTTGTTTAAAAAATATTTTTATTAATTTCGAGCTTATTATATAAATATTGTTTAATACAACTATCTTTGAGATAGATAGAGAGGAATTCATAAACGATTTGCACTCCTTTATATGTGTTCGATGTGTGGGAGTGACCAAAGTTCTACATGGTAGGGGAGGCTCAATGCCTCGACAGAATCCGAATGGATGGATGTTCGTGATGTCCCAATTTTATGAACGACACATGGGCCCATTCTCAATGGCATGATTGAGTGAACTACGATGGCTGACGACATCTTGTGACTTTGGATGTCATTAAGACATATGAGTCATGTCGATTGAAAACCAAGATGATAAGATGAAATGCGATGTTGCATTGAGAGACCTTAACCATGAGTAGAGGTAAGATCGAGCCAAATGACTTAACCTAGTGTTGAGGCAAGTCAGTTGCACGATTGAACATGCACGCGGAGGCGGCGTTTGTGGCCAAACAAGCTTGCATTCCACACAAGTGATGTTCGGTTAGCAAAGATAAACCTCACCTAAGATCCGATGAAGCTATAAAGGCCAACGAAAAGTATATATGGAGCTTGAGTTTTCCTCAAAACTTGTCGTGAGTGTGTCAAGATTACGACGTCGCACAGTAGAAAAAGTATGACTATGACATGTAACAATATATATGTATGTATCGGGAGCGTAAACACCTAAAAACTTTGGAATTAAAAAAAAAAATTAAATAAGTAATATAATAGAATAATTATGATAGCTTTATATGGCAAAAAAAGAAAAATATTTTATTAATTATTTTGAGCTTCCACGTAGGCAGCGCTCCTTTGGAAAGTACTTGGTCAGTGAATGAAGCCAAAAAAGCCTCCCCGAAAAGCACTTTTCCAACACTCCCAACGGTCATATTTCTCCACAGAGATTCACCAAAATCATCAATGGCCGTTTGTTTCCTGTTCTTTTAAACCCGAACCTCACTCGCATTTAATCGAAGCCCTCTCTCTTTCTCCTTCCTCTTCCACTTTTCTCTTTGATTCTCCACTTTCCGCCGCCCTCCATCAATCATGGGCTGCTTTCTAGCTTGTTTTGGCGATTGCAAGCGCCGAAAACAACCCAGAAAGTCCTCCGTTGAGATTCCTTCTTCAAATCATGTAAATCCTTTTGATCTCATCGTGTTTTCTGAGTTTTTGTTCTTGTTCTTGAATGATCGGTGGATTTTGTCTTCGGTTGTTTTGTTTTTGTAGGTTTTTAAAGCTTCTGATGGTGTTTGTGCGTTGGAGCAAACGAAGGAAGTGGTTGAAGTGCCGCCGATTGACCTAATTAAGGATTCTCTGTAAGTCCTTTGGAGTTTTTTTAGGGTTTATTGAATTTTGATTGTTCTCTGTTTAGTTTCGTTTTCGAATCTCTATTTGTTCTTCGAGTTTAGTTTCACTGAGGATTTTCAGTTTGATCATCTGTGATAATTTGAGTGTTTTACTTGTTCTTCAAGTTTAGTTTCTGGATTTTCAGATTCATCATCCGCGAGAACTCGAGTGTTCATCTTGTTCTTTGAGTTTCGTTTGGAATCAAGAAAATTTTAGAAATGATTTAAAATTCTTTATCTTGTTCGAATGTGATCAAACTGAATTAGTAACGTTTAATTAGTAATTTAGCTCAAAATTCAATGAAATCGGGCATAATCCAATCTTTTTGGCTAGGATTTTTTTGTTTTTCAAAACGTAAGAACATGATTTAACTCATTCTCTTTAACATGCAAACAACTAAAGAGTTTGAAATCACTCAAAATCCTGAGCTTACACAGGATTAAGAACTGAGTGTTCTTCTTGTTCTTTGAGTTTCGCTTGGAATCAAGAAAATTTTAGAAATGATTTTAAAGTTCATCTTGTTTGAATGTGATCAAACTGAATTAGTAACGTTACATTAGTAATTTAGCTCAAAATTCAATGAAATCGGGCATAATCCAATCTTTCTGGCTAGGAATTTCATTTTTTAACGTAAGAACATGATTTAGATCACTCTCTTTAACATGCCAACATCTAAAAGAGCTTGAAATCACTCAAAATCCTGAGCAACCACACAGGATTGAGAACTGAGTGTTCTTCTTGTTCTTCGAGCTCAGTTTTCAGGGTGTGGATCTGATGTAGCTCTAGCTGTTTACTGGAAGTTTCTGGTTAATTTTACTGTTCTTTACTGCACAGAGAGAAGCTTGAAGAACAGATAGAGTTGTGTCATGCAACTGAAAAAGCTTCTGAACCAATTATTGAGGATAATAAAGTGGTTCCCCCTAAGGAAAATGAAAGCAAATTGGATGAGATTAAAGAAGAGGAGAAGAGTGGAAAAGAAGATGAATCTTTGGGAAGCTCTAATTTATCACAAGCGTTTACTTTACCTTTGAATCATAGGTATGAAAATTGCTCAAACAATGATGAAGATCATGAATATGCAGAAGAAATGGATCATTTAGATGAAGAAAAAAGAAAAGATGATACCAATGCTGATGATGGGCATGGAGAAAGTAAGTTATTGATGGAGCAGGAATCTTCGGAGTCTCTCTTTTCTTTGTCATTTGGTTCAAGGAAACAGGTTTGTGGAGTTGAAGATGCAGAAAATGAGGTTAATAGTCTTGATCTAAGCCATCAACAGGAAAATGCTTCATCGGAGAAGAAACCGGGATGTTGGAACGAGAATGTTGTCAGTTCTGTTCTTAAGCCTATTGAGAATGATGCTCGTTGTTTGAGCCATCAACCCGATAACACTTCATCGGAGAAGAAAACGGGATGTTGGAACGAGAATGTTGTTGGTTCTGTTCTTAAGCCAATTGAGAATGATACTCGTTGTTTGAGCCATCAACCTGAAAACGCTTCATTGGACAAGAAAACGGGACGTCTGAATGAGAATGTTGTCGGTTCTGTTCTTAGCCCAATTGAGAATGTTACTCATTGTTTGAGCCATCAACCCGACAACGCTTCATTGGAGAAGAAAAAGGGATGTTGGAACGAGAATGTTGTCGGTTCTGTTCTTAGCCCAATTGAGAATGTTACTCATTGTTTGAGCCATCAACTCGAAAACGCTTCATCGGATAAGAAAACGGGACATTGGAATGAGAATGTTGTCGCTTCTGTTCTTAACCCAATTGAGAATGTTACTCATTGTTTGAGCCATCAACCCGACAACACTTCATCAAACAAGAAAACGGGATGTCGGAACGAGAATGTTGTCGAGAATGCTACTCGTTGTTTGAGTCAACAACCCGAAAACGCTTCATTGGTCAATAAAACGGATGTTGGTTCTGTTCTTAACCAAATTGAGAATGTTATTACACATTGTATGAGTGCTGCAAAAGTGGAAACACTGCCATCAGTTCATCGTTCAGAAAAGGAGAATATCAGTTTAGATAAAGGCTGTGATGTGCTGCCCATCAGTCCAGAGCCTACTTTTCGGGCAATGCGAAAGTCTAAAGAAAATCATAGCAATTTAAAGCACGTCGAGGACGAGATTGCGGTCGACACCAGCCTTTCGAACTGGTTGGTTGAATCTGAAACCACACCAAAATCCAATAGTACTAGCTCCTCCATTGGAAACTCACCTATGTGGACGAGAAATTCAGCTAAAAGTAATGAAGATAGGCCAATTTTAGGAGCATTGACATTAGAAGAAATTAGACAGTTCTCTGCATTCTCAACTCCGAGGCGATCGAGGAGTCGGAGTCCCGAGGAAGCACCCATCATAGGCACTGTTGGGACTTACTGGAGTCCTACAAAACAGGATGCCGAGCTTAGACAGTTCTCGGCATTCTCAACTCCGAGGCGATTGAGGAGTCGGAGTCCCGAGGAGACGCCTATCATAGGCACGGTTGGGAGTTACTGGAGTCATACAGGACAAGATGCAGATTCCAATCCGGGCTCTTCGTGCAAGGGACCGAGGAAAAGCAGAGAGGTACATCTTTTATATCTTCAAGTTGTGATATTAATTCATTCGTCTCGTTAATCTGAACATAAACTCGATTTGTGATGTCTCACATTGGTTGGGGAGGAGAACAAAACACCCTTTATAAGGGTGTGAAAACTGTCCCCTAGCAGACGCGTTTTAAGGCCTTTAAGGGAAGCCCGAAAGGGAAAGCCCAAAGAGGACAATATCTGCTAGCGGTGGGCCTGGGTCGTTTACACGATTAAACGTTCATTTGTTCGTGATTTCAGGACGAGAGAGTCAACTGGAATTCTACTCCATTTTTGGAAAGATTGGACATGGCTTTGGCATCAAATTCTGCTGAGGTTTAGTATCTTTTCTTATTAGAACATTGTGTATGTGTATGGCCTTGATTTATAAATTGTCTGATCTCATATTGATTTTGTAGAGAAAGTGAGGCAGTTTTTGGATGCAAAAATAAATTAGAAAAGTAAGTAAATAATTATTACTTTTTTAATAAATTTTTTCTTCTCCTATTGTTTCATGAACAATGGCATTTTTTTTTCTTCAATAATTTAGCCTTTTATTAGAAAGATTTTGGAATTTTAATTCGAAATAAAGCTCGATAAATCCACGAAATCTAGATGGGTATATTATCATAGATTAGGTTGAGTCGAGAATTATCTTATAGATTCAGCTCAATTGTTCTGTTCGTAAATTTATAGTTGGATTGGTTGAGTTTATTATTTTAACAAGGGTTCAAGTCGTTTATTCTTTTGAGTTGTGAGTTGATTCGTGTTGTTCGAGCTATTTGTTCAAAATTTTGTTTCGAATAAAAGTAGAATGTTAGTTCATATTAACATTTATTTATTTATTTTCCATTGAAATTAAGCTCGAAATATCCATGTCTCATAGACTGGGTTGAGTCGGGAATAATCTTTTAGATTCAATTCAATTATTCTTGTCGTAAATTTATGGTTGGATTGGTTGGGTTTATTATTTTAATAAGGGTTCGGGTCATTTATCTTTTTGAGATGAGTTGTTTCGTGTTGTTCTAATTATTTATTCAAAAGTTTGGTTCGAATAAAAGTAAAGGTTAGTTCATGGAACATTTATTTATTTATTTATTTATTTTTCAAACATTTAATTAAGATTTGCAATAAAGTCGGTTAACGCAAGAACTACATATAAAAGACGAGATCTCCTATGAACTAGAAAATATTATTCATACGTAGCATGAATTTTAATAAAATTATACGTTTTTCTCAAATCCACTTGAAATTACCTGTTTGTAACAATTGTTGTCTGTAACTAACCACCTACCTACTTGCATGAAAAATCAACGCTACAAAAATAATCGTGAACGTCTATCAATTGAAAAATCGTAGAACGAACTCTAACGATTCTTGGCCCACCAAAAGACTATTTTATCAATTTAAAGTAAAAAAGGTAAAAATAAAGAAAATTAATTTATGGCCGAGCAACTTTCAACCTCCACGAACCCCACGTCAGCGAATTCATGTCTTGTCATCTTCGTTTCAGCGCCGCCATCCTGCTTCCGTTCCCACTGGTAGCTTCATGAGCACAAGTGGTTGAGATATCATATTTAGAAAATATATTATTTATAGAATATATCTTAAATGATTTATTTGGTAATATATTTTATTTTATTCTCAATATTTAATTAGTTTATATCCATAAATAATATATATATTTTTAGGTATTAATTACTAGCTGGTATCTTATTTAAATGATATGAATATCAATAACAACACACCTATTCTAATTCTAATTCTATTTCTCATTCTTAACACAAGTGATCAGAATATTAGACGGCAATATTCATTTGCAAACATTTGCAAGCCTTTCTTATCGAGAAATTCGCGAACGTGCTTTCAAAAGGCTCACTTCACCTGAATTCCTCGACAGACGTTAAGAACATCCCAATTGTTCGATTCAATTACTATTCAAATCCTAACAATCTTGCACAATGCGTTAGAGGGTTACGAAAAGTGGGGGATTTGCTTAAAACCCGAACAATGGAAAAGATCAAGACGCAAGATTTGGAGGGTAATAAAGGGTTTCAATATTTAGGGCCTCCATTGCCGGAAAACTTGTCGGACAATAGCTCCGTTGAAGAGCATTGCAAGGAAACAGTGACCACTTATTGGCTAATCCACGGCGGATGTTTGGTCGGAAAAGTTGTCGATAGTAATTACAGAGTCATCGGAGTCAAAATTTTGCGTAGCCCAAGCCCAGTATCTTATTTAGTTATACATGACCAAGCCCATGACGTAGCCCAAGCCCATTACGTAGACCAAGCCCAGTATCTTATTTAGTTATACATGACCAAGCCCATTACATAGACCAAGCCCAGTATCTTATTTAGTTATACATGACCAAGCCCATGACGTAGCCCAAGCCCATTACGTAGACCAAGCCCAGTATCTTATTTAGTTATAATGACCAAGCCCATTACGTAGCCCAAGCCCAGTTTCTTATTTAGTTATACATGACCAAGCCCATGACGTAGCCCAAGCCCAGTATCTTATTTAGTCATACATGACCAACTAGCCGTTGAAGAGGTCCGACTAGCCGTTGAAGAGGTCCAACTAGCCGTTGAAAATAATTGATGGAAAAGGAAAATAAAATAGAAGTTAGAATCCTAATCCCACATCGGAAAGTAGTGGAATGGGAGGAGGACTCAAAAAAGTCTATAAATAAGACCACATTGCCCCCTCATATTCAGAACAAACAACCACCGAGGGTAGAGCACATTCATGGTGAAACCTTTAGCAAGCCGAAGACCACAATCCCTTGATAGCAACCCATCATCAACTCTTCCATTGTCGACAATGTTGCTCCGGTACCGTAATCTGGTGAATTCTTCAACCTTTCCCTCAGTTTCAAACTCAGAAATTTAACCGATTGTGATATACAACCAATCATGGGATACTATAATCTGGTATGTTCTTGATCCATGGGGAGATCGCTCAGGGACTGGGTGGGGGATTGAGTCAGTTACCAAGCATGTCACCATGGTGAAGCGCGCTAAGGGAGCAGTTAGTAAATTTGAAAACCCTCGAATCTCTTTTTTTTTTTACCAATTACGTTATGTTTGAGTTTGATTTCCTCAACACAGAGGAGCCATGGGGAGGTAGAAGATAATAGAAGGCGAGGGAATAAGCGGGTGTGACTTCCATCTAATCTACCTATGCAACACTTGACAAATATTCCAGGAAAAGCTGTTGAAAAAGGTTTCTCTGGCACATCAACCAGCCTTGGTCCTCTTCAGCTTGAAGCACGCAGTGGTTTCCACACAAGCAGAGCAATGTCGAGCTCCACCATGGCCGCCTCTTGTTCGGAGAGCAGTTTGGGCTCGCTTGACATCCATCCGATCAGAATATCCTCCTCAGGAGCTGAAGAGTCTAAGAGACTCACTGGCTCAAAAGGGACTTCCACTGTCAAGGTCGACTATTGATGGATATGAAGCTTCAGGCGGAGAGGACAGTGACCGAGTTCCTTTAATGAATCTATTCGTTCATGCCAGATTAACATGATGAGACATACCCGATTATGAAGGTATGAGTCACATTCTTGAATCTATGCCCTTCCTTCCTTCTCTTTTTTACGACTTTGTTTATCAAATATTTTTTTAGTAATTTTTATCTGTTCTTTCTCATGTGTTGAGTTAACAATGCAGGGGTTGCCAGGATCACATAGTGAGGATGGAGCCCTGCAACATACCCTACTTTGTGGAAGTGTTCCTTGTAATGAGTTTGAATATGCATTCAAGGTTTATAGGCTATCTGCTAAAATAAAATAACAAGTAGAACTGCTTTTCTTAGTGGGTTTAACCTATTTCACTGTGATGTTTTGTTTTATAAAGATGATATGTGACTATTGAAAATTGTAGACCACATTACTTGTTTTGACTTTTCTCTGCAGGCTGTTCAACTGTGGATGGTTGATAAAGCCGTTCGTCACAGGCGGCTACATATTTGTTGGTGAAGTGCAGATAACCACCAACCTCTGCCTTCTAGCTTCGCCAGGTATGAGAGCAGAACAGTTGAAACGTAGACTTCCATTCCATCCTTGTGTTATTTCTTTATAACTGCAGGCAGTCTCACGGGTGCAAGTGATGAGGATTTTTTTAATTCACATGAGATCGAGATGGTTCGTGTTGCTGATGGTGTGTTGTCGTACTCCAAAATCAGCCTTCTTCTATTGCAGCCCAATTCATTTGAAGGTGAAATTGTGGTTTCTGGATTGTGAATTTTTGGGGAGTTTTGGTAACGAGTTGATGAATTTGTTTTTTAATTCACATGATTCTGTTTTGTTGTTAGGACTTGTGATCTTTGATTTCGCCTGTTTTATTTTTTTTTTTACAGTTTTCTTTTAACTGATTGATTGTGGGATTTGTGATCTAGAGGCTGTTTTGTTGTTGGGATTAGATGTAGGTGCTTCCCAGTTAATCCTCCATGGCAACCACCAGAAATTTGGCCGTGGAAGTCGTATCTCGGGGTAACATTCTTATATAGCAAACGCTACACATGATCAGAAGATTATTGTAAGACTTTTAGCAGTTCTTAACTTCTAAACAAGTGATCATGCTTTTAGGTGCGCATGGTGACGCATGGGGGATGTCCTGTGACACCACCCACACCACCCCCTCGGTTTATTTGCATTTCCAACTGACATGTGCCTGCTGATTTGTTAGATTTATCTAATGAGAAATTCCTAGCAAAGCTTGCTCGGCTCTAGATAGCAATTCCTAGGAAACTTTGCAATAGTAGACCTAGGAAAACTTGGCAGGAAGATTACTTGGAAACTTGGCAATAGAAGACCTAGGAAAACAGCCTGGCTCTAGACCGAGCAATTCCTAGGAAAACTGCCCGGCTCTAGACCGAGCAATTCCTAGGAAAACTGCCCGGCTCTAGACCGAGCAGATTTCTAGGAAAGAACTGCCCGGCTCTAGACCGAGCAATTCTTAGGAAAACTGCCCGGCTCTAGACCGAGCAATTCCTAGGAAAACTGCCCGGCTCTAGACCGAGCAGATTCCTAGGAAAGAACTGCCCGGCTCTAGACCGAGCAATTCTTAGGAAAACTGCCCCGGCTCTAGACCGAGCAATTCCTAGGAAAACTGCCCGGCTCTAGACCGAGCAATTCCTAGGAACAAACTGCCTGGCTCTAGACCGAGCAATTCCTAGGAAAAAACTGCCTGGCTCTAGACCGATCAATTCCTAGGAAAAAACTGCCTGGCTCTAGACTGAGGTAATTCCTAGGAAAACTGCCCGGCTCTAGACTGTGAGCAATTCCTAGGAAAACTGCCCGGCTCTACCTTTTCACAGTACCAATAGTTTGACAAGGTTACCTGACTGAGACACTCATGAATATAATTGTTGCATTGATATGTGATCGTTCCCTAGTTATTTTGTTTTTCTTTGGTATAATTGTTGCTTAGTTATATTATTTTTCTGGTATTTCATTGATATAGTTCATATTTTGTCAAAGATGATGGGGCTAGTTGCAATAATTGGTCATTGATTGAGAAACCCGGAAGTTGTCAATTATCAAGTCCCGTAAAATTATGATTAGTTCTTCTGATTTCTAAGCTATAGTGAAGAAACATTCCAACCTAAGATTATGTTCCGTATTGCTTAATCTTTGTGGTTCATTGGATTTTGTAATGTGATGCACGTGCTTCAGGAAAAGAGAGAATGAATGAATGTTATGAGTAGCAATGCAGTCATAATGTCAGCTGCTATGGTTCTGCCTTCTCGCATCCAAAATTTTGGTTCTGCTTATCTTTGCGGTGATATCTGATCTTAGTTTTTGCAACAACAGTTCTCTTCTGGTTCATTTGTAATAACATGGGCGAGATAAGATGTTTTGTGTAGTTTTTTTGGGTAAGAAGTCATTTTCATTGTGAGAGAAATGAAAGAATATCTATTTGCATCTATTTGCACAGGTTGGTTCCCAGGCTGGTAGTGCATGCTGCCACTGCTGAACAATGAATAAGAGATTCCGGTAATGTAATTTCTTGTGCATGGTTGTAAACTTTTTACAGATTTTGCTTCTTGCTCCTATTTTTTTTCACAAGCAATCAAAGGATTTCCAACAACAAGAATCCTCTTTAGTACGACCGGCTGGTTTAGTCTCGTTTCAAGACCTTTCTTTGTAGTGTGCATTATATCCAAAATTCATGTCTCATCTGATGACATGCTTTTAATTCTTCAATGTATTCTTTATATATTCTGACTTAATTATTGACCATTCACGGTCTTATGTGCCATAGATTGTCATTGGTGTTTTCCATCTTGGAGAAGGTCAGTATTTTTACCCTTATTACTCTGCAGATTGCAAAACATGTTAAGAAAATGATTAGGATTCGTTCTAAGATTTATCAGTTGATGGAGGAGTGGACATTGGCCAAGAGATGCAGCTGAAAAGATTTTCGTGGTTTTATTTGTAATGTTGATTTTTCATGGAGGCTTTGGATGGTTCGTTACAAACAGGTAATTTCAATAGTATTGGTAAAGATAGAGAGTAAATAATGAGTTCTTGAACAATATTAAATGAACCCAGCTTTATTTTATATTGACTATTGATAATTAGCCTTATTATTCGGTTATTTATTTATTTATGTTGACCAATTCCTACTCTACTATTGTAGATATAGCATGTGTGTAATAAATTTATGATGGATATGATATCAGTTCCCTTTCTCAGCTCATTAGTCATTTGATGTGATGAACATTACAAGATACTTTGACTCATTTCTATTGTTTTTGTAACTTATTTTAACTAGCAATTTGACAAAACACAACTTCATCAGGTTTTCTGTGCAATATAGTTAGCTTCCGCATGAAGACCATTCGAGGAATGTCATATTCTATGACATTCCTGAAACAGTTCCTGTGCAGACTTATTTGCAGCTTCTCCCTGGTAGGTCTCCATCTACTAGCATTGCATTGCAGCTTCTCCCTGTATGAATCCTTAACTTTTAATGTTTTCAGGTACTTTGCATTACTTGGCATGAATCCCTGTATAAATCCCATCTACTAGCATTGATTACTTGGCTTCTAGACCGGGAAAACTTCCTAGGAAAAACTACTTACCTGGCTAACGAGAAAACTTCCTAGGAAAACTTACCTTGCTCTCGACGGGTAAAACTTCCTAGGAAAACTTACCTAGCTCTTGCTCTAGACGGGGAAAACTTCCTAGGAATACTTTAAACCCTAGGAAAACTTTACCTAGAGCTCTTGCTCTAGAGGGGGAAAAGTTCCTAGGAAAACTACCTTGCTTAGAGACGGGGAAAAGTTCCTAGGAAAACTTACCTTGCTAGAGAGGGGAAAAGTTCCTAGGAAAACTTACCTTGCTAGAGAGGGAAAAAGTTCCTAGGAAAACTACCTTGCTTAGAGACGGGGAAAGTTCCTAGGAAAACTTACCTTGCTAGAGACGGAGAAAAGTTCCTAGGAAAACTTACCTTGCTAGAGACGGGGAAAAGTTCCTAGGAAAACTTACCTTGCTCTAGACGGTAAAAAGTTCCTAGGAAAACTTATCGCTCTAGATTGGGAAAAAAACTTACCCTTGTAGATCGGGAAAAAGTTCCTAGGAAAACCTAGCTGGTGAGTCCGGGAAACCTACCTTGCTATAGAGATTGGGTCCTAGGAAAACCTACCTTGCTAGAGACCGGGAAAAGTTCCTAGGGAAACTTAGCGCTAGACCGGGAAAAATTCCTAGGGAAACTTACCGGTCTAGACCGGGAAAAATTCGATCTTGACTTGTTTAAATGGGCAGAATCGAACTTTCATATCACTTTGTGTGACATCAACTTAAGCTAATCAGGTAAGTGTTACTATCGGCATGCTTATATATTTGATGTTGACACATGTTCGTGGTTTAGAGAAATAATTTTGTAGAAGTTCGAACTGAAACTGATGAGGGACATAGGTTGATGATTATTTAAATGGGCAGAATCGAACTTTCATATCACTTTGTGACATCAGCCTAAGCTGCTAATTAGGTAAGTAGTCTTACTAATGGCATAGTTATATTTAATGTTGACACGTGTTCGTGGTTTTGAGAAATAATTTTGTAGAAGTTCGAACTTGAAATTATTGTTATGGGCGTAATAGGTTGATTATTTAAATGGGTGGAATTGAACTTTCATACATCAGCCTAAGCTAATCAGGTAAGTGGCCTTACTATCGACATGGTTATATTTAATGTTGACACATGTTCGTGGTTTAGAAAAATAATTTTGTAGAAGTTTGAATTTGAAATATCTTAAGGGCTCACATAATAGGTTTACTTATTTAATGGGTGGGCGGAATCGAACTTTCATATCACTTTGTGACATTAGCCTAAGCTAATCCTAATCAGGTAAGTGGCACGTGTTCATGGTATGGTTATATTTGATGTTGACACGTGTTCGTGGTTTAGAGAAATAATTTTGTAGAAGTTCGAACTTGAAACTGATGTTATGACACATAACACTTATTTAAATGGGCGGAATCAAACTTTCATATCACTTTGTGACATCAGCCTACTAATTAGGTAAGTGGCCTTATTATCGTAGGCATGGTATATTTGATGTTGACACGTGTTTGTGGTTTAGAGAAATAATTTTGTATAAGTTCGAACTTCAAATTGATGTTATGGCACAAAGCACTTATTTAAATGGGCGGAATTAAACTTTCATATCATTTTGTGACATCAGCCTAAGCTAATTAGGCAAGTGGCCTTACTATCGTTGGTATGGTTATATATGTTGACACGTGTCCGTGGTTTAGAGAAATAATTTTGTAGAAGTTAGGTTGTATTGAAGTGATAGGATATGGGAGTATAAAAGAATACGGTTAGGTTGTGTGTAGAGAGGAATAAGTTTGTGAGATTTATAAAACGATAGTTAGGATACGTTTCTGTGATGATATGATTAAGGTACGTTCATGTAACGATATGACATGTTAAGGCTATAATAAGTTAGGGAATATGACCCTAATGATATGACTGTGATAGATATTCGTTAGGCTATGATAAGTTGGGAACCATATGACCATGAAGGGTTCACGACATGATATATATGTTGTCATATGATATGAAATATGTTATGGTACGAGATATGTGATAAATGTGTTTATTGTGTATGATATATTTATAGAACGATAACGTTAAGATACGTTCCTGTGATGATATGACTAAGGCACGTTCATGTAACATGACTGTGATAGATATTCGTTAATGCTATGATAAGTTAGGGAACGATATGACTATGAAGTGTTCACGACATGATATGATTATGATACGACATGTGAATGACGGATATATATATGTTGACATATGATATGAAATAGGTTTGTGATAGATTTTTAGAACGATAGCGTTAGGATACGTTCTTGTGATGATATGACTAAGGCATGTTTATGTAATCTGACTGTGATAGTTATTCGTACTATGATAAGTTAGGGAACGATATGACCATGAAGTGTTCACGACATGATATGATTATGATATGACATGTGAATGACGGAATGTTATGTTATGAAATGAAATATGATTATGTGATAAATTGACATGTTTATGATATGAAATATGTTATGGTACGATATGTTATGTTATGATATGATTATGATACGATATATATATGTTGTCATATGATATGAAATATATTATGGTATGAGATATGTGATAAATTGACATGTCTATGATATGATACATAGTATGATATGTATATGAAGAAATGTTATGTTAAAAGCATACGAGATATGTGATAAATTAACATGTTTATGATATTATTGTCATGCAATATGTTATGGTATGATATATATTTTGAAATGTTATGTTAAAATCATAGATATGAATGATAAACGATGACTTAACATAACATAGAACGTTAGTCTCTTAAATTGTGTATACAACATGATACGAATGACATGAAATCACGATAAATGACATGAAATATAACCCGTTAGAATTATGTATGATATGAGAGAACTGAAGAATGAGAAACAATATGAAAAATGATATGATATGTACATAAATATTGGGACCTCATGCATTATGTGTGCTCATGCATCGGGGAGATACCCCTATTCCATCACGAGGGTACGAACGCGTACATCCATTAGGCAAGCGAAGTATTGTTATGTTTTTACATAATGCTGTCGTGACGGTTACTAATTCTAATGGGTGTCCGGCAAAAGTTGAGCTACCAAAGAAGGCTCGCCTGACAAGAAAAGGGGCTCAGTAAGTGTGCGAACTAGTGGGCTATGTGTAGAGTATATGGTACACATCCAAATTGCCCAATTAGAATAGTGCCGTAGGAAAAAAAAAATAGATTGATAGGTCCCGTCATGGCATTCGTATGTTCTTAATATCTAAACCATGCTTTTAGGTGCATGGTGAGGCGTGCCGTGTGACACCTCCCTTATAGCATAATCTTCTTCATCTCTGTGTCCTATCTTTTCAAGTTTTGTCGGTTGAAATTGAAACACCTCTAAGAGGTCACAACCACACACTAGGTTTGAGACTTCAGTTTATGAGGTTGATTATATTGTGAATGTTGTCCGAGCATGAAAGATAAAATCATTTCGTGGATTATTTTAAAAGGAAAGAAGATGAGTTCTTCTTTCTTTTATCACTTAGCTTAGGAGCCGTGCGAGATAAAAGTTTCATGCACGGTTTTGAATGAGAGAAAGCAAGAAAGGACGCGATAGAAGAGGTTATCCTCTGAGATGCTTTTTTAAACTTTAGCCCCTATGTTTTTACTGAAGGCTTAGGCACCATTGATCGCCCCCCCCCCCCCCCCCCCCCCC